TTCTCTACTCCTCGTGGTATGTCTACTGATGGTAAAGGTAATATATTAGTAGCTGATTACAGCAACAGTAGAGTACAAATGTTTAAAGAAGATGGTACATTTGTACAAGTCATACAATGTGATGGTAATGCATCTGATGTAGCAGTTGATAATGAAGGAAAGATACACGTTACCATTTGGGATCAACATCATGTTCAAGTCTTCTCTCCTGATGGTAAAACTCATCTTGATACATACAATAATCCAGCTGGTAACTTTAATGGTCCTCGAGGTATTGCTATTGATGATGAAGGATATATCTTTGTATCAGTTTATGGTGCTAGTTATCTTCATGTATTGAGTCCTGACAGGAAACAAGTCAAATTAATCTCAGGATTATCTTCTCCATGGGGCATAGCATTAGATAAAGGACATATTTATGTTGCTGAATATAGCAACAATTGTATAACAAAATATTAAAGTAGTCGTTCAATAAAACTGTAATAAACTAGAAAAAAAAATCTTGCAATTTTTGGTATTAAATGATGCTTTGTCACATTCTATCTCTTTTCTCTTTCGTCTCTCTTTCACACACACAATTCTCTCCCTCCCCCTTTCTCTCTCCTCTCTACTTTAAGTGATTATTAATTATTATTGTTATTAATAGATTAATTTGATTCAAAATTTTGAAAATAAAGAAAAAGTAGAAAATCTCAAAATATCATCATCATCATTATATACTAGTACATACACATGTTCCTAGTGTACACTATAATACATTATACATATGTTTTATACATCATAGTTAGATCACTAGGTGAATCAGTACCTATCAATAAACTGGGTCTACTCTCTCTTCCATTTCTATTTGAATTTAAACTAGTTGTTTCTAAATAATCACGTAAATATGCAACTGCTAATGGCTGACGTCTTGACACGATATTAACCAGTGTTGCTGGTACTCCTCCCATATCAACCTATTCAATGTACGTCATGTTTGACTCCACCCACAACCACACCCACCTGCACAAGATACATGACTTTTGTGAGTAGTTTTTCTTTATAGTGATAAGGTTCAATGACCCACCCACTCGTCATGACCTAGTAAATCTTTGTACATTCTAGTAATCTCATTACATCTCTCTAACCTTTTCTCTAGTCTTTTGATTTCTTCTGTTACATTATTGAAACTTATCAAGACTGCCTCTGATACTTTTGCAGACTAACATAATTTGATTAAAAATGAAAAATAATATTTCAAAAATTTTTAAATTTCTTCCTTGCCTTATCAGAATCAAAAATGACTTCGAAATTGAGGCAGTAGCTTATCTTGTGATAATTTTGAATATCCTGAAGAAAAGTTATTCTAATAACAAATAAGTAATAAAATTACCTTTTAAAAAGTGTACACCAAGAGCTCCATCTTGACACATGGCTATAGTATACTAAATTTTTATTAACAGTTTACACTTCTACAGATCCGTAAATTTTGCGGGGGTGTTGATGAAAAGACATGGGAGGGGCTGCATATTTTGTGGCTTGGCTTATTAAGATTCATCTTCTTTTCTTCAAGCTCAGGAATTACTATATCAAATTAAGTGAGTGAATTGTTGTCAATAATAGTGAGATTATTCACTTTTTCATAGGCAGCAATGGCAGAAAACACAAGTCCAGCTATCACTATGACTTGTGAGGTTTGTTCAGAGTATTACACTGACCCCCTCATGCTTCCCTGTCTTCACTCATTCTGTAAGAAGTGTCTAATAAAAGTTAAAGGGAAGCAAGGTAGTGCTGATACCTCATTAAAGTGTCCAACGTGTGACACTAGCGTTAATTTACCTGATGGTAAAATTGAAGGCCTCACTCAAAACCTTTGGTTTGAACATAAATCAAAAGAGGCTTCGATCAAAAAGAAGATCATTAGCAAGGAAGCAATATCGTGCGATAAATGTGATGATTCCAGTGATGCAGCTGTTGTGTATTGCTGTGATTGTGGTCAGTTTCTGTGTGATTATTGTAAGAAAGGTCATAAGAGAAACAAGAAAGAAGCCAATCACAAGTTGATCAATATAGAAACAAAGGAATCCATTCAATTGCCTGCTGTTAAACATGAGGCAGTTTACTGTGCACGACATTTGGACCAAAAACTGACATACTATTGCAACGATTGCAATAAACTGGTCTGTCCAGTTTGTCTTAACGTTAAGCATAAAAGTCACAATTACAATGATTACCTTGATGAAGGTGAAACAGCATGTAAAGCATTAAAAGAAAGTGTTGCTAGTTGTGATGGAGTCATTCCTCCAGTCACTAAAGCTATTGCTAATGGAGAGAAGATACTAGAGCAGATAGCAACACATAAAGAAGAAGTAAGGCA